TTAAGGAATGTTGTCACATGCAAGTTAAAAATAAATTATCTTGGAGAAATCCTGGGAAATTCCCTTTGCTATATGGGTTTCCCCTAGCTTTTTGCCCTAGCTTCTCTATATCTTCAAATGCAAATATTTCCTCAAATGCAAATATAAAAAGCCAAATTTGTGCTTTCTCACATTCTATCATCTTTCTCTTTACCGTTTTTTCAGTTTTTTCGGTTGTATTTCGAATAAACCGGCATTTTCCAATTGATTGAAGTCATAGTGGTGCCGAGGGAGAACTTTGCAGAATTCACTTACTTCATTCGTGTTTTTCCTGGTGTCAGGTGGCTTCGGGCAAGTAATAGGTAATCACCCATCAATATTTACTTGAGTTAACCTGGGTTGACCTTGATGCAATTGTAATTGACATGATAGAACTAAGTTTACACTTGCGATATAAAGTTCTTACAAACTAATGAGCACAAGTGGTCTAATTATTATAATATGGAGCCAATGAGATTCGAAAAATCCTCGTGATTGTTTCACAATGTTATACAAAATATTATCAACATTGCGACTTGCTGTTGTTGATCAATGATCAGATGCAACATGACAAATGACTATTTCAAGAATAGATTTTCATAATTCAAATACGATTCATTCTGGAGCTCAGATATAGCTACGGTTCGGGTAATAGATTAAAAGATCTGCTGGTCAAATATTGTTTAAGACTCTTGTAATTTGATGATATCAACATTTTTGTTACATTATATAAATATTAACGTGTATTAAGGAACATTTTACAAAGTTTGGGCAATTATGTAATAACTTATAAATGCTTTCACTGAAAAATATTTAGAAAAAGCTCCGGTTTTTGTCGCCTGTCCGAAATGATTTGACTTTTTCCATTGTTCCCGATCTCTGGATAATAAATGAAACAAATTGTATGCAACTTTTTCTATCATTGCCTACGCTGTTCATCAGCTTGTCATGATTAGTCCATCAGTCTTCTTAATTATAGCCATTCTGACCGTAATTAGTTTTATATTTAATGAGTAGTTGGCAAACTCTATACATAGTTAAATAGTTTGCTTAAAGTTTTTAAATTAAATAGGTTGTTATATTTTACTGATAAATTTACACCTGTTAAATTAACTGTCCTCTCAATATTTACTCCAGTTCTGTGTTCACAATTTGAGCTCCAATTGATTGATATTTTTGTATGGTTACCATAAGAGGAAAATGAATGTATTCAAACAAAGCTTCTTAAATTTGTGTTCTTTTTTTCAATTCGTTTGTGTTATGATTTTTAATTTTCATGAAATCTCATTCGTGGATATTGCACTCGCTGATAACGTAACATGAGTCGACAAAAACAAACAATAAATTAACTTTGTATGAACATCATCATTTGCAATTCTAAGTATTTTACATTTGCAGACTACACCATCAAGTTACATGCATGCTAACAAAAAATTAAACATTCCTTGGAAAGTTTGCTCTTTGTATTTCCCTTACAGTTAAAATCCATATAGATGTTGAGCCTATTTTCACCATTATTTGTGATGTGACTATTTGTTCATGTATCTTCTGAAAAATGTAAATCCTCAACGCGTCAAAAAGAACTGACCAAGTTCTAGAACCAGAGCTTATCTTTATAGCAGTCGAGGTAGCATAATGAGTTTTTTGAACTTTTAGATTCGCTTCCAGACTAACCTAAGTACATAATGGAGTGTGTCGAACATGTCAAAGAGCAACAAGCTCATATTGAATTGTCTACTATGAAGGCGAGAAGGTTTCTTGATCAACGTCCTAAGGCAGGCTAAAGTGGGGATCAATTTGTATAGAATGCAATTTATAAATTATAATGGCGGCGCAAGCTATATTTATAAGCTCGCTGAAAAAATAAACATTGCAGGGGTGTCGAGTGGCACGATGGAGGCGAGCAAGAGTAAAGATTAGAAATATAGATCGCTGATGAAAAAGGCTTCATACTATAGTTGTACTCTATGAAGCTTCCCTCTGGCGTGTTGTTTTATCTTTCTGCCCATCCCATAAATCTATCGTTGAGCGTTTTAAAGTTGACAATAACAAAAATGCATGAAGAAACGTCGAGTAGCAGCATAGCTCCCAAAGCTTGAATACTATAAGAGAGTGGTCTGAGGAGAAAAATGCAGTCAAAGGCATTGCGTATGGTGAGCTCAGCAAAATATTGTTTTCACTATTTACTAACAATTCTCTTTGTATGTTGCAAGTAGATTGCCCATTCAGTAAATCAAATTTTTATAAAAGTTCAAAAAAGCCATTTTCTTGAAATGATATTTGCTGTATTGCTTTTTTTCTACACTTGTACCTTATGATAAAAGCTATTATAGTAGTCTTGCATGAAACCTATACAGCTTCCGTTTGGTCGCTCTTATTTCAACAATTTCAAAACGCTAATTAGCTACTATTTAGTTGTACTGCAGCGTTATAAAAAGTACTTGATTGCTGGTTAAAGCGTGTTTGATAGCTTCTATATATATAAAGCTATTTGTAGATTTTTCACAAATAAAAATACAAGATAATAATATCAATTTTAAACAAAAAGAATGATAGCACAGCGCTATAACCAACAACTACAAACAATAACGACCTTATCTAACAACATTTGAGAAATTAACCTTCCACTCCTCTATAACATTCCAACTATTTAACCTTGTGATTATACTTATACATATTGGCAAGCGGGATGCTTGTAACAATCTATGTTTAACATCAATATCAATTTTATTAACTTCTTATAAACTATTGTAACATAATTTTTGAATAGATGTATGTGTACAGCTTTATATATAAATGCTATACATAAAATACATGTGTGCAACATTGATGAATTAAATACTTCGGCAAATAACGTCAATGAGATTACTGCATTAGAATGAAGATATTATTTTAAGTCTGTTTTGATATACCTCTACAAAACTAAAACACCAAAAGAATCAAACACTTTAAGAAACAAGGTCGGTGAACTCTGTCGTGTCATTAGACTTAGTTCTCTCTAGAACAACACCGTAATCGTTGTTGTAAGTTGTTCAATTTGATTGATAAAATTCCATACTTCAATTTATATTTCTCAAGATTTATTCGCAAATTATAAGCTCGACTGGGAAAGGGACGTGCCAAACACATGTAGCAGGAAGATATGCAACCTACCACAAACGAGTATGGGAATGCGAGCTGCTTCATTATAGAAAATACTAAAGAAGGTACAAAACTTTTAAGACCCACAAGTTTGCCTTCAGAGGATGTCATCCGAAATATAACATAGCAAAGTATCCCCCATCCAAGTAAACGAACGCTTCGTGTGACAAATTTTATTGTGCCAGCAATTCCCTGTAGTTCTTCAATGATGATTTTTGCCTGTGATAGATAGTCATGACAAAGATTAATTTCCAGTTGTGGATTCTCAGGTTAGCAGTCCGGTAGATGCGTGAGTCGGAATCGTATAATATAAGTAAATGATTTTTATTCGATCTAGTAAATAATGATATAGTATAAATAACAAATGTGCAGTTTAACAGTATACCAAACGTAAATACATGAACTCACTTCTTTGCCGGGTCCTCACGATCTACATTAATTTCAATACAGGTTAGCCGATATAATAAAGTAATACAATGATGAAGCTTTCGCCCAGGTTAGCATGTGGTAACTGTCAGCTGCACTATAGACTCAAATCCTTTTTATTCCAATGAATATTGCGCGTCAAATTACGCGTCAGTTAAAACATGCATAAATTAAACTCCAGTGCTAAATAATTATATCCGTGCAGTTTGTCAGCAATCCATCCTCCCCGATAAGGAAACATTACTTATCAGTTTATTTCTTCTGCTGCTTGAATCACAGCAATCTTGGTGATTGGTCTGGAGTACTCTCCTGAACTTGTTTTGACCTTTACGTTTCGTACCTTTCCATCCTCTCCCGGGTACACTTCTACTATCCGTCCTACTGTCCACTTTCCTCGTACAGCATTTCCGTCAGCCACTATTACCACATCATCAACTCGCACATTTTCTTTTCCTGATTCCATTTTTTTCTGGGGACAAGTAATGGAAATGTGTCTCTTGTCCATCGTTTCCAAAACGAGTCCACGATCTTTTGCACAAACTCCACCCTTCTTCTGGGGTTTTTGGTTTCTTGAAATGGACCTTGTGGTACTTGAACAGATGCTCTACCCAGGAGCATATCATTGGGGCACAAATATGAGCCGTCATCGGGATCATTCGGAGGTCGTCCAATTGGGCGTTGATTTACTAAGTTCGCTACTTCCAGTAAACAAGTATACAGCTCAAACGGAGTAAGTATGTGTTCTCCAATCGCTCTCTTCAGGGCTCGTTTGCAGCTTTTCACCATCGCCTCTGCACATCCGTTTTGATGTGGTGCCGCTGGGGTGCTAAACTTCCATTGTACTCCCTTTTCCGCGCAGTAGTCTTGAAGTAGCCTTTTGTCAGCTCCTTGGATCATTTTGCGCAGATCGGTCAATGCACCAACAAACTGCGTACCGTTATCACTCAAGATTTCTGCTGGGTATCCCCGAATTGAGAAGAATCTTCGCAGAGTCTGGATAAATTCCATCGCTGAACAGTCGGTGGCGATTTCTAGGTGGACTGCTCGAGTATTTAGGCACGTAAAGATTACTCCGTAATGTTTCGTTCTCTTGTTTCTTCCCACTTTGACAGTCAGTGGTCCAAAGTAGTCGCATGCTGTGTAGTGGAACGGTGGGGAATGGGGTTGAAGTCGCTGTGGTGGTAAGTTGGCCATTATCTGTGATTCAGTTTTTGGGTTTGCTGCTCGACATGTGACACACTTTGCCTTGATGCTCTTTGCTAAATCGTGTGCTCGAATGATCCAATACATTCTTCTGATTTTTGCTACCGTAGTTGCCACGCCGTGGTGACCTCTTTTGTGAAACTCTTCCACTATCAATTTGGAGACTCGGTGATTATAGGGCAAGAGAGCAGGATGCTTGGTTTCGTAAGAGACTAATGAGTTATCAATTCTTCCGCCAACTCTGACCGTGCCTTCTTCATCGGTAAAGGGCTCAGAGATCTTAATTCGTTAGATTTCAATTGTGCACGAATCTTTGTTTGAGCTCTTTTAATCCAGAATGTCCTACTTCTTTCGAGTTCTGCCGGTGTTAAGCAATCTCCTCTTGCTGTGTCCTTCGCTGTCGACCGTACCTTTGCTAATAATGTTGACTTAGCTCTCAAAACCCAAGCAGTAACTCGTACGAGCTTTCTCCAACTTGAAAACCTTTCACTGTCAATTACGTTTACTGACGTTGTCACTGCACCTACCAATTTTGAACTTCTACATTCCCTTTCACCTTCTTTTGCATCGGGTTTTGCGTTTTCGACCGGCCATTCTTCCTTTGGCAAGTACAGGAATTCAGGACCGTTTTTCCATCTATCCGACAGCTCAACAACACGGAGACCACGGGATACATCATCTGCCACGTTCTGATCCGTTGCGATGTGTCTCCATTGAGCAGGTTGGACGTTGCTTTGTATTTCCCCGACTCGACTTGAAACAAATGGTTTGAGTCGTCTTCCCTGGCTGCGGATCCACGCAAGAACAATTGCGCTGTCGGTAAACAAGACACTCTCTTTTAGTGGTATACGGAGTTCATTTTGGATGGTCTTGCATAAACGGCTGGCTAACACGGCTGCTTGTAGTTCTAATCTGGGTATTGTTAGCTCTTTCAATGGGGCGACTCGTGACTTTGCTGCAACAAACCGTACGTTCACCACTCCATTAGGTCCTATACTTCTCAAATATGCACATGTTCCAAATGCTTCTCGCGATGCGTCGGCAAAGGCACATAAGATCGGTGGCTCAATCATTACAACGGGACATAGACATCTTTCCAACGATATTTCGTTTAACTGATCCATCTCTTTAAAGTACGTCAACCATTTTGTTTGATCACTTTGCGATAGTTCATGGTCCCAGTCGAGTCCTTGCTGCCACAGTTCCTGCAAACCAATCTTTGCCCTTATAAGGTAAGGTGCTGCAAAGCCTATTGGGTCATATATTCTAGCGACTTGGCTTAGGATCTTCCTCTTTGTGAACTTTGGCTGTTGGGTGTGGCATATTTCTACTTTTACTTTATACTTAAGCACATCCTCTTTCTTGTTCCAGGCCAGGCCGAGCACTTTTGACTCTTGTTTTCCATGAGGAACATCAACTTCATTACCATCTTCTTGCTCGTCTTTCCTGTTCAACTCTCCGTTTGATTGCCATCCCTTCACATGAAACCCGCCATTATCAAGGATGCTGTCGATTGCTTTAGTCAACCCGATTGCTTCTTCATTTGTAGCAACTGAATCCAGAATATCGTCCATGTAAGAATTGTCCTTTATAACTTTTGCTGCTCTCGGGTTCTCTGATGCTCCTTCATCTGCAGTTTTCCGCAAGGCAACTTGGGCCATCGCAGGTGCAGGTTTGTCACCGAACGTAAGTACGTTCATAACGAAAGTGTCCGGAGGTCTATCAATCTCTAAATTCCTCCATAGGAATCGGTGTACCTGCTGGTCTTCGACAGGGATAAGGATTCGGTGGTACATCTTTGAGATGTCCGCAGTGAGGGCAACTTTATTTTCCCTAAAACGGAGAATAACTCCGAATAGAGAGTTCAGAAGATCAGGCCCCTTTTGCCAATAATCGTTCAGCTTATGTCCTCGGAACGTAGCGGACGAGTTGAAAACGATACGAACCGGGGTGCTTGTACTGTCAGGTCTTAGAACTGCATGGTGGGAGATGTAATGGACTGGTTCTTTGTGTTCCTTAACTTCCTTCTCGGATAACTTTCGAGAAAACCCCATGTTTTCCATTTCTGTCATCTTGTTGTTGTACGCTGCTGCTTGCGTAGGAATTTTCAATAATCGACGCTCAGTTGACTCTAGTCGTTTCAATGCCTGGATTCTGTTATCTGGTAAGTCTTGGGGGTTTTTCTTCCATGGATATGGAATCATCCACTGCTTTCCAACCTTTTTTGCAGACTGTTCAATCACTTGCTTTTCTTCTCTTTCGGATTGGCTCAATTTTTCAGCTTCACAGGTGCACGGCTTTACTGTTACTCCCATGGCTTCGGTTGTCCAAAATTCTGATAAATCAACTGCTTCTGGGTACCTCACGTGTAATACAGTTGTTGTTGCATTGTTTGACTGTCCCGTTGATGATCCGAACAGAACCCAGCCGAGTGGCGATTCTCTCGCGACCACATGTTCGACTTGCTTTGTTTTACCCGTGTGCATGTATGCATGATCGATTCCAACAAGTAAGTCGACTTGGCCCTTTCCACGCTTCACCTTGTCCTTTGGTAGTCCGAGTTTTTCGATTGCATTCCTGGTATTGATTCCTTTGACATCCTCGCTGATATATGGTATTCCAACTGCAGTGATTGTGTACTTCTTTGATTCTCCGATTCTGCTTACTTGAACTTTGTAGCTCTTTGTGCAGATTGACTCTTCCTCTCCACCTATTTTTATGATGTTAACGGAGATGTCTTTCCCTTTCAGACCGAGACTCTCCGCCGTTTCGCTGCGGATTAGACTTATCTGAGCTCCAGAATCCAGAAGAACGTTGCCGCGCTTGTAGAGACCATTTGATCCGCAAATGTTAGCAGAAATCACTGGTAGGATTGAGTCGTTTAGACCAGTCACTGATGCAACCGTTGCAACTGACTTGTGCAGCAGCGGATGGTGACTGGATGTGCACTGGACTCCGTTTTCATACTTGGTGCATTGCTTTCGCCTGTTGCAATTTGCTTGACGATGATCCCGACCTGCTTTCTTCAAACAGCTGAAACACACGTGATTATCTTTCGCAACTTTTATTCGCTCATCAACAGACATCGCTGCCAATTTTTGACACTGGTCCGGCCAATGATTTGAGTTCTTGCAGAGCCAACACTTGAATCGGTTTTTACTTTCTTCCGTGACTGTACCATTGACATGATTGACTTTGCGTCGAGTGAGAGACGTACCACTCCTGACTGGGGCTGTTGCACGCATGCGCGACTTCATCTCAATTGTCATCCAATTCATCAACGCTTTAAGGGTTGCGGGCTTTTTCTCTCTCTAAGTCTTTCGACCACACTTTTCGATCATCTGGACACATCTTTTGTTCAATTATGGATAGCATGTGGCTGTTATCCATGTCACTCGGAACCCCTACCTCTTTCAACGTGTTGAAACACCGCCTAACCAAATGAACTAAATCACAGAAACGCGCGTCTTCTCCTGTTTCTAGGGCTTTAAATTTAACGATGTCCTGCGTTATGGTGTCTGATACGTACCGAGGGTCCCCGTATATGGAATCTAAGTATTCCCACGCTGCTTCATAATCAGAACCAATACCTTTTATTAATTCAAGTGGTTTCTCTTTTAAACAAGTTCGCAGTAGTGTTATTGAATCTCGTTTTGTATATCTCGATTCAATTGCATGCTTGAAATCCGCACGAAATATTGCATATTCACGTACGTCGCCCGAAAATTTCGGTAGCTTTGGTTTTTCCATTTGAAACCCGCAGGGACTTCGTGTATTTTCAGATTCATTTTTTACTTCAGATTGGGACGTAATTTGATTCGGAAAATTTTCCTCATTTGTTGGGCTTATTTCGGTGGGAGCGTTGACAGATTCCTCGGAAATTACCGCGTGGGAACTTTCCGCCACATTGCTCATTTCATCACCTACGCTGGTCGGGTTTTCCTCAATAACTGTGGGGCTCATATTACTTGCGCTGTCAACATTTTGCATTCCGATCATTCCAGACGAATTTTGCTCGTTTTGACTGATGCTAGCTTCTGAAGTTTTCACTGAAACCAATTGTTCGATATAATATTTTGCCTCAATATCAAGTTTTAAAAATTCGTTTTGGCACTCATCTAACCAATGCTCTTCTGCTTCAAAAGCTTCATCGTTCATAATCAAATTTGCATAAAGCTCATGTTTCTCTACCACGTTGTCGAACGCTTGTTTTACTTTAACGAGATAGTCGCTTACCTCGTTTGCTGGTCTTTTATTTATACACAGATGATTCAAGGCCTTTCCCAGTCTTGTCAATGTAGACTTGGCTGCTCGGCGTTTGAGCTTAGCAGTCTTCAGTGCCTCGTCTTCGTTACTCATGGTTCAGGTTCTCCACGCGATTAATTTTTCTTCAGAAATCGAATGTTGTGGATTCTCAGGTTAGCAGTCCGGTAGATGCGTGAGTCGGAATCGTATAATATAAGTAAATGATTTTTATTCGATCTAGTAAATAATGATATAGTATAAATAACAAATGTGCAGTTTAACAGTATACCAAACGTAAATACATGAACTCACTTCTTTGCCGGGTCCTCACGATCTACATTAATTTCAATACAGGTTAGCCGATATAATAAAGTAATACAATGATGAAGCTTTCGCCCAGGTTAGCATGTGGTAACTGTCAGCTGCACTATAGACTCAAATCCTTTTTATCCCAATGAATATTGCGCGTCAAATTACGCGTCAGTTAAAACATGCATAAATTAAACTCCAGTGCTAAATAATTATATCCGTGCAGTTTGTCAGCAATCCAAGTTGAGCACGACCATACAGCATTATTGTGTTTTCGCAATGTTTTATTTCCTCTTTTTCAATAAGCTCTGAAGTCCTTTCATATTTCACCTCAAGCATACGAAAGCACTCTTCAATATGTTTGAATTTTGGTCTATGGAGAATCTCTGGGAAGTCTAACGTGTCTTCCACAATTTTCAGATTCGGCATATTTTCCATTATACCAATTTGCTTTAATGATTTATTTGATGTGTGTTTGGGTTTTTCCAAGCAATCCCAAACATAAGCAAAGGTGTGCATAATTTTTTTCCAACAATTTTTAAGATGCGTCATTTTCATTCTACTGTTCAAGTGTACTTGCGAATGATTTTGATTCGGACAGGCTTTTGATATTTATAGGTATGTGTTTAAATGTGTATTAAAGTCATTTTCTTTCTGATTTAAATTTTTTCTTTCTGATTTAAATTTTTTCTTTCTGAATTAAATTTTTTCTTTCTGATTTAAACTTTTTCTTTCTGATTTAAACTTTTTCTTTCCGATTTAAATTTTTTCTTTCTGATTTAAATTTTTTCTTTCTGATTTAAATTTTTTCTTTCTGATTTAAATTTTTTCTGACTTTTGAAAATTTAATGATGAATGAAAAATTAGTTGAGACGATTCAAGCAACCCGGACGACTATGTGAGAACCACCCTTTACTCAACCTATCAAAACTCAACCCTTTACAGAACTTCACTTTGGATCTTCATTTTGATTCAGTTTTCAGAAATTTCACACCTGTTTCATCATCAGTTTCAAATATTATTCATACAGAATGCGTGTACACTTACACAAATTGACTAGCAACATCTCAGTGAGGTGGGATTTTATTTACTGCACGTTGTCAGTTAGCTCGTTTTCAATTTACTTGAAAGTATTCATAAAGTATTCATTAAATGTGCTAAACGCTATCCCGACGAGAAAAATCATTCTGCAACAATTCCAGTCGTCTGTCTAAGTAGTTTAACTGCATAATAAAAAGATTATGCTTGCATTGCATCTTTTCAAGATTTTCTCGGAGCTCGTAAGCACGTTTTGGGCGGAAACAAGACAACCACAAGTAGCCAGAAATCGCGCAGCCTGCCAGATAAGGCAACCGAAGGATTAATTTCTTTACTGCAGCACTCCTCAAAGGGACAACGTAGCTTGTAAGATCCTCGAGTTTAGATGTGGATGATGTAATACGATACAAAGAGTAACACGTGACTCCCCATCCTAGTTAACGCACGCCACGTGACACACATTTTTCTGTGCTAACTTTTTCCATCAATTCGTCAATGGCAGTTTTTGCCTCATCGAGAAAATCACGACAAAGCTGTATCTCCAATTGAGCACGACCAACGTATGAGTTAAATATGTCAATTTTGTGAGGTTCGAAATCTCTTGTTAGTTCCACCAAAAGGTCGGACGCCTTTTCAATAACATCCAAAGTTGGATAGTACTTTTCCTCCACCAAGCGAAGACATTCTTCAGCATATTCGCGTTTCGCGCTATACAGATTTCCCGGAATATCTAAGTTCTCCGAAATGACTTCTAGCAACTTAATGGCCAAAGTTTGGGAGCCAAGAACTATAACCAAATATAAACATATTGAACAATTAATAGATTTGAAAGTGCCACGTCTTCCGCTTTGTATATAGTAATAGAGAGCTTTAGCTAGAGTACTGCTGCGACGAGTAAGAAGTTTGACCGTGTAAGGGAATTGCGCGAGGAAGTTTGTTGTCGTTGTCGCTTCGTCAAAATTTTGTTTTAGCTATAAACAACGGAACGAGCCTTTTTATTGTGAAAAACACCGACGTTTGCGAAACAGCTACGGCTCCATTTGTCAATAATGATATCAACTAATCGGTAATACTGATTTTGCGAGAACATAGGATTCTTTAGAGTGAAAAATCTCCACTATTTTAAATTTTATGTACGATATATTTATGCTGTTTTATTGTTTGTTTACCGTTCACTTTGCGTACGAAATACATGAAAGTTTTCAAGCAGTGGCGGATCCAGCCTGTTATCTTATCCCCTTCATAAAATCTCTGTAATGTATTTTATAGGCGGCAGCAAACACGGCTTTTCGTTATTTAACCATCCTTACCAAAAATACAAACTCTTATAGATATATTGACAAAAACAAAAGTAACCGTTTATCAAGTAGAAAATACTAACACCTACCTATGATATGGTACAAGCCTCTTAACACCATCTCGTCCTCTGGTTTATTGGTATTATCTGGTGTACTTGACGCGGTGTCTCGCATTGTTGAGTCAATGCTATCGGTTTGGTCGGTTGCATGGCTATGATGCGATGATTGCCCAACCAGTCCATAACAAAACAGACAGTTTCCACGACTTTATTCCAACAATTTGTTAGGTGCTGATGTTTTGTCAATTCCACGTTGTTTTGCTTTCCTGTTGTTTTTGTTCATCGGTTTCAAGATCGCCCATCGAACGTAAAAGTCTTGCGATTTCTAAATTTTGTTTTCTGTTTGCGATAGCAACGGGCACTTCATTCTTCCCCAAAGGTAATCGACTTGGTCTCTTTGGATGTTGACTAATCTCTAATGCTTTAGATATTATTGGGAATCTTGCCATACCTGTATTCGTTTGCTAGTCTTGCGAACTACTTCGACAATGCTCTCTCAAAGTCTCAACCAATATCCTATTTCGCACAGATGTAACATGATAACAGCGTTGTCAAGTCTTCGTTTCAATTAATTTCTGGTGGCAACTTGTTGGGAAAGTCCCAAAAAAAATAAAAGAGAAACCTTGCCTTGCGCTGCTAGCTAACAGCACAATGTTCAAACTGCATGATATTTTGCAAACTATTCAACAAGAACGAACAACGATTGCTCAAATGATGATGGCATAGAGCCAATGAGACAACCGGCTAATACTCATAATTATTTCACTGTCTGTGGTATATCTACGTCTAATTAATGTTGTCAAAGTTTTTATGGTCCGACTTTGCAGTAATTCAGGCATTGGAAGAAAATTTGGGATTGTCAAGCATTTAATTGGCATCGTTACATTAGTAGTCATAATTTGTCTCTTTGACTAGCGCATGTTACGAAGCAACAAGCAAGCGAGTGTTTGTGGTAAAAAAATAAGAGAAATGACTAGACTGCTTCGCGCTCCCCGATTGTATGCCAAACAGACCTTTCAGACCTACAAATCAGGCAAAACCACATGTATGCACTTCGTTCTTTTGACCAGGCAATAACCTATCTCTATTGTGCCAAATACCAAAATAAGCGCTATCGTTGCCCTTGTTATCAAGTAATATTAGTAAACCAATAAATTTGCACACAGCTTATTTTATAGCTTTCCAACTCCTCCGACTCTTTCGTCTCATTCGTGAGGCAGCTTCAATAAGCGTTGATTTCACTAGTATTTTTATGGAATTGCATGACGGTAGCATGAATATCATGGACATTCATCCATTACCGATCATCACGAACATAGGTGCTGCTGATGGAATAAGTTTTTATTTGCTGCATTTTTTAAGAAGCCTTGTGATGTCACCATAAATGCACAAGCTGGTAGAGTGCACTCCAAATATTTAAATTTTTGACCGAAGTTACATCAAAATTGTGTATTTACTATGAAATCTGACAAAAGTTGAAACTGTATTCCCAAACGAAGGCTACGCCGAATGCAAGTAGTGCCAGAACTAATTATATGTACAACATTTAAATAAAACTACTTTAAGTAATTGCAATAAGATACATGTTTCATTAAACTTATACAATGTAAACTATAGTTCAGTAAAGAGTTCTTGCTGAGGTGTCGTTTTAGTTCATTTCTGTGATTCACTATATTAAGATATTAACTGATTAGTGAATATTTGAATGCGCTAAACGCTGCCCTGACTAGGAGGATAACTCTTCTGCAACAACTTCAGTCGTCGATCTAAGTAGTTTAACTCCATCTCCAAACGTTTATGTTTTTCCTTCATTTTTTCGAGATTTTCACGGAGCTCATACGCACGTCTAGGACGCAAGCATGACAACCATAAGTAACCAGAAATTTCGCAGCCTGCCAATGGTGGCAAAGGAAAGCCTAACCTCTTCACTGCAGCACTAGGGACAACGTAGCTTGCAAGATCTTCAGGTTTAGATGTGGATGATAAAATACGATATAAAGAGTACCACGTGACTCCACATCCTAGTAAACGAACGCCACGTGACAAATATTTCACTGTGTTAACTTTTTCCATCATTTCGTCAATGGAAGTTTTTGCCTCATCAAGAAAATCACGACAAAGCTGAATCTCCAATTGAGCACGAGCAACATGTGAGTTAAATTTGTTGATTTTTTTAGCTATGGGATCTTCAGGATTTTTGGAATCGTTTGCTATTTCCTTTAACAGGTCGGACGCCTCGTTTATAAGATCTAATATTTTTTCTTCACCAGGCGAAGGCATTCTTCAGCATGCTCGCTTTTTACACTATACAGATTTCCAGGAACATCTAAGTTCTCCGCTAAAATCATTAGCAAATGGATGTTCAATGTTTGGGAGCCGAGAACTATAACAAAATACATATAACTGCTAATAATGTTGAAACAGCCCACGTTTACCGGTTTGTGATTCGTGGGCCGAGAACATAAAAACTATGTTAACTATGTAAATGCGGAAGACCAACACGTCTTGACAATAACAATCTTTCCTCTTTCGTAATACAACTTCTTGTTGATGTATAAATAAAAATTAAACACTTATATCTATTTATTTGCCTACCTAGGATGTGGTACAAGCCTCTCAACATTATTTCGTTCTTTGATTCATCGATTGTATCTTGCATACTTGACGCACTGCCATCGGTTTTATCGGTTGAATCTTTGCTGCTAGCATGGCTACCATTTAACAAATGCGATGGTTCCTCTAACACGTCCAGAACACAGCAGACAGCAGTGGCGTAGCTAGGAAAAATAGTCACTCCCGCCAATCCATCTCGCGCCGGAGGCGCGACCCCACTAGGGGGGTCCGGGGGCATGCTCCCCCGGAAAATTTTGAAATCCAGAGCCTTGGAAACAGCATTTCCTGCGATTTCGAGGGCGAATTATTTGTTGTACAATAATTTATAAAAACCCATTTTTGTTAGCTGCATTCTTAATGTGGCAATCGTTGAAACTGCAACTAGTTAAAAAGGTACTAAAGGTGGCTCAGAGAAACGTTACGCAGGAGACAATTTTCCCCTAAAACATAATTTACTCATCACTGCCCCTGCATAAACAGAAGAAATTTGTATTAGCACAAAAATAATATAGTATACGACACTTCTAAAGTGCATAGAGAGAGATTTTTCTTAGCATTCTACTTGTTAGTTTAAACTTGTTTAGATTGGGGCAAGTAGACAGGGATGGCTTTATTCTTTAAAGTTATGCTTAATTTTCTCAATGAAGTACCATGTATTATACGAACAAATATCAAAACACATACTATACTCATCATTTATAAAGAAAGGCCAGCCTCCTGGGTTTTCTACAAATTTTCAACCACCTCGTTATGCAACACCTCTGATTCCTCTTTCTTTTCAATGATATCTTTGTGAATAGATATTCTACACAAAGAGCTAAGCCGACCTTGACCCATTCTATTTCTTAAATAGCTTTTACCCTTTTAAGCAAGAAAACGACCTCTCTACTGAAGCACTTGCCACTGCCAACACACCATTCAATTTTAACAAATTTACCACTTGACCTAAACTCGACTGGAGATTAAATTTGAAGATGTATTTAAGAACCTCATTACTGCACTCTTTGTGAAAGTCCTTGTCGTTGTAAATGAAGGAAAGTTGACTCTCCAAAGTTTGGATGTCAAAAGAGGACTATACTTATCTTTGAGAAGATTGATCTTCTCCTGTGGAACTATGCCCTTCCATGTAGTAAATAGTTTAGGATTTACAAGGTCTAAAAACTCGAACTGATTAATATCTTGAAATCGTTCACTTAACATGCCTTTAATGGAATCAATAATCTCAAAATAAAGCTGTTTGTAATTGTATCTACTATCTGCTCTGGTTGCTGGTGGGCCTACTTTTCTAGTGCAGTTTGGTAAAACTCGGTGAAAGCTTGATCTGTGCGAAGTGACACAATAAACTGCTTGAAATTGTCAATCTTGCTTATGCCATAGTTAAAATGGGTTTCCTATTTTGAAGAATGGAATACAAAATTGTGGACTGTTCTAAAATCCTGTAAAAACACACACTAGACAAAAGAGAAAGCTATCAAGATAATGCAGTAAGCCACTTATTTTACTTAATGACTCATCATCCCACCCAGCTGGTTGTTCAAGTACCCCTCAAAAATATCTAAAAGTTTTTCATAGTTTTGTGCAATACATTGATTAATCTAGAGCGATAATACCATCTTGTTTCACCAGGGCAGGAAACTCAAGGTTGTTAGATGTGAGAAAAGCTTTTCTTTTGGGGCATTGCTTGTAAATGTGCTGAATGTAGCTATATTAATAAAAAGATTTTAACAGGAGAAATTGATGAGGCTGACTGGCATAGGACCAGGTTCAATCTATGAGCGGCACAATGAACAAAATGAGCAAAAGGATACTCTTGTCGAACCAATGCTTGAACACCATTGATATGGCCAGAAATGACAGAAGCACCATCATATGTTTGTAAAACCAGTTTTTCTTTTATATTAGAATACTCACCAAGTTTATCTTTGACAACTTGTGATATTGCTGTGGCATTTCTGTTCATACTTACATCCACAAATCCTAATTGCCTCTCCATAATTTCACTTGCTTTGTCAAACCGAGCAATAACACTTAGCTGCTCTTTGGTGGAGACATCAGATGCTTCATCAACCTGAATACTCATAAATGTGCAATCATTTATTTCCTTTCTGATTTCATCTTCAATAATTGAATCAAGACAGCTGATAAGACCATTTTGAATTTCTGGGAGACTCCAGTAAATCTTCTGTCACCAACTATATCAGATTCTGCTAGTCTACTGTGCAGTCGACGCTCAAATACAGAATCAAACTTAGCAAAACATTTGAGAAACTCTCTATAATTACCTTTGTTCAAGCTACCTTCGGACTCATTGTGACCTCTAAATGGCAACTCTTGCTTTGACAAATACAGCACGGCCTCAGTAACAGTTTTTAAAATTTCTCGATTTTGTCTTACCTCCTCATTGTGACGCTGAATCTCATTTCTTCTAGCGAGGGACATAAGACAATCAATTCGTTCACTAGCTCCATACGTTTTCCATGTCTTAAATGCAGTCAAATGCGATTTAGATTTTTCATGCTTCTTAGCATCAGACATAATACTCCGCATATCGTTGTAGCCATTCTTAGTCCACGATGGCGATGTTTTGGGGAAAACATTAGACATGGCCAACAAAACACTTTCTGCAAGGTTGTACTGCCACACAGCCAGTCCTTCGCCTCATACCAATCTCTCTGAAATGCTCTTCCCTTATTTTGGATAGTTAAATCAGGAGTAGGCCGTTCATGAACGATAACATTCTGTTCGACCGACGATCGAGCAGAGAACGGTTTAGCTAATAAGCTATTTACTAAATCAACATCAGTTGAGCAAATCGCAGTCGCACTTGAAGCCATTGTGTCATACACAAATACAAAATAGCAATTTGAGAGTAAACACAATGGAAAATTAATACCGACAATGACACGTAATTTGATAATCACTAATCGCTGTACTCGTATTAAAAGGTCGAATAATTACAACCTCCGCCAATTTAAAATAGCGGGAGTTCGACTATAAAACAGCAGATTTGAGCATGCGTCAAGTCCCTTAGCCAACCAGAATTCCAAACTTCTTATATAGAATTATATTGTATGTTCCGCCCTCTGAAGATGGGCGGAATACGGAGAATCGCGCGAGTATGCAATGTGCGAGAAAAGGCGGTTGCTAGGTTACATAACAAATCTTGAGATTTTGCTGTATTACGATTACGAACCACCTAATAAAAGCGTAAATATGAACGAATAAAACATAATATTACAAATTGTTCGTGAAATAATGTATATCTTATGTCCAAATAGAATATTTATTATTTTTTTGGGAAATTTCTACTCCCGCCGGGCGGGAGTGGCGGGACCGCTAGCTACGCCACTGGCAGACAGCTCGGACAACTTTATTCCAACAATTTGTAAAGCGCTGACGCTTTGTCAATTCTACGTTTTGTATCCTTTCCTTGATTTCCTGTCGACTTTGTTCGTCGACTTCAAGATCGCCTATCGACCGTACAGCTCTTGCTAATTTTAAAATTATCTTTTTGTTTGCGGTAGCAACGAGCTCTTCATTTTCTCCTAGAGGTAGTTGACTTGGTTTCATCGGACTTTGGCTATTATCTGGAGCTTTCGCCATAACTATATTTATCTACTTGGGAGCCAGGTACAAAAATTTCAAAACTGCTTTGAAAATGATAGGTCAACCAAAATGAGAAATTTTAAAGAAGCGATACGATGACAGCGTTTTCAGATTGCGTTTTGAATGCTTTCATTTCGTTCTCCGAGCGGTTCTCAGCTCCGTGAAGTACCTATCTATATGATGACCTTCTTATTGTTTTACATTAAAAGGAAATGCCAATGGAGCTGCAGCAATGCGGCAGAATCATCCGTTTTCAATTTTTAAACATCAAAAGAAGAACGTTAAATTTGTCCATCGTCACATTCATTTAATCCCTTTTTTCTCACAATGTACTGTATTGGTCAAATTGTCAATGTTATTCCCAGAAATATGGGGTAGAGAACATGCAGATAATTACATTTTTAATACCACATATCAAAAGGGCCCAGTCTTGGCTGAATTTTTAGCAATGAAAGAAAAAATTGTGAGTTACTAATTCAACGAATCTTAATTATTCTTTTTTCAAACATTTTCATGACATTATTATGTTTGGCATTACATTTTTTGATCAACTTTATTTCTTCCATATGAAGACAGTGAACGACCATAGCTATTGTATCATCAAAAGCGCTTCCCCCAAGTATTTTAACTTTGTGGTTAAATCAACTGCTTTACAAGACTCTTATGTTCATAGTAAAAATGGCGCTTTGGTTCTGTTAAAGAAAGAAAATTTTATAGCAAATGCAACCCTGACGAAGATATCCTGAAAGCAGTGTAATAACAACTTTGTTTTTTGTTTTGAATAAATTTCATTCCATTTCCAGACTTCATGTGCTGTTTCTCGCATTGTTACAGCTCATCATATTTAGGGAAATTCCCAACTAAATAAAAAATTGAGGGAACTTCCCTTTTTGAAGCAAAACCTCGGCAACATATGGCAGCATTTTGTACTTGTAATAAAAAAATAGCAAATATATATGAGCAAGATTTGTCCAATAGTGACAACATGGAGCCAATGTGATTCAACTAATCCTCCTTTTTTGTATTGTTTTACAATTATATGTGCACGTATTATTGCCAATGTTGTTTTTCGCCAGCTATGAAATAATACGATGACAATGACAAGAATAGGTTTTCTCATTTCAATGACAACTTAAGGCTTTGGAAGAAAAGATGTGCTAATCAAACGTTGTTGAATAGATCTTCGATTTTTTATACCATAAATTACAATAAAATATTACAAGATCATAAAATTACATTTTATATTTTACAAATCATGCATATAACAAACTAGTAATCAACTTTTATACACACTTTCAACTGAAATATTTTCATGAAACGTTATTTGAGGTACTAAATCATGCAATTATTTAGAATTCGAAAATCTTAGTGAAAATTACATTGCAAATTTTAGCAAACTTAAAGTTTACATGAAGCTATGTTTTTGCTTATTTTAATGCGTAAAATAACACAGCTGTGTAGCTTTATCACGGTTCAATGTTTGAAAACAGAGGGTGAAAAACCACAGTGAAGTACAATGACAAATAATTATACACCATTTTGGCTAAAGTATTATACACATTTCTTTCCAGTCCGATCTTCCATTTCTCTTAGAGACATGACCATTCCCTCTAGTATTAACACTTCGTAGCTCAAGTGACATTGCTCAATATTGTAAATTGTAGGCTACAGGAACATCATAACTGGGATGACCCCCTGTTTTTCAATGGTCCATCTCTAAAATCTTTAGCGCTAGTCAAGCTTATGCGCAAATCTTCCAGTTTCTCCTTCAACAAACAGTGTTGTGATTCGAGTTTTGCAATAGACTCGTAGAAAACGCTCTCTGTTCCTGGAAATAAGCACATCCATAGGCCACCCGCGACCAGGGTAAACCCACCAAACTGCAACAGGTCCAATGACGAATGACTGGATTCCTGATATCGCTTGAACAGAAAATAAGCAGTGAACGCCCAATCTGCGCCACGCATACCACGCAAACTCCATTTAATGGTTTTCATTTTACCAGCAAGCTCATAAATAGCTTTTTCTGCCCCGTTCAATCGCCGGCTACACAAATCAATCTTCGTTTTTGCTTCCCTAACGATGTTGTCAAACTGCATGGCCATTAGGAAATCGACGCTTTCACTATCCAACATTTCTTTAAGCAACCTGCTCGCATCTGCGACTAATCTCACAATGGAATCCTGGTGGTCTTTGACATCTTCCAAACACTGCACTATGTATTGACGCTTTCCTGGAAACGGATCTAGATCGTTTGTCAGAAATGCGCTTGCTATTTCCATTATCACGAAGATTTGAGCGTTGTTCCCGATCTCTGAATAATTAATGGCAAAGGTACTGATGAGAAATAGATGGAAAATGGTTCAACAACATGGGTTTAAAAATTCTTAAATCTACTTAGTTAAACTGCACCAAACATTAAAGATCTGTGGATACACACTGGTTGCATTCAGCCAGTCAGAATGTGATGTTCAAAAAGTTAATTGCCTACACAGTTGGAATACTTCAAAATACAATATAGGTTTTCCCTAACAAAGCAATTTTAACGTTCATTGTGACATAAAATCGTTGCGTTTTAAAACTTTCTCGGTTTCTCCTTTGTACATTTTGTCTTATTTAATTTTAGCCAAAGGGTAATTCAGGTTCATTCCATATTTGGAAGTTAAGTTGGCAACATACGAACTTGTTCCAAAGCCATCATCTGAGAATCATAATATGAACCCTACAACGAACTTATGAACCCTACTACGAACTTAAGGATTTATAATACGAACTTGGCAACCATGCTTTCAGAAGCCAAGTCCAGCCGACCAATTTAAAAAGCAAAGGAAGAAGCAGATGCCGAAGAAAATCGCCATCTCGAAATCGAATATTTTTGTCAAAACAAGAGACGTAACAAGTGGTAATTTTTAACGTGAAATACTTCTTCTGACAAAATGAAACATAATACGATGCACAAATGATATATATACGTGTATAAATACAAATATACACGTAGTACGATAATGTAAGGACGTGATGTGAACGTTGTTTTGTTTGTTTACATTCCTTACAACGTAAAAGAACAAGTGTAAATTCTACCCACCTGTTAAATTATACAGTCCTCTCAATATTTGCTCTCGCTTCTTTGCATCCATTTTCATATTTTGACCTTTGTGCTCAAGCCATTCAAGAGTCACGTCAATAGCTTCTATAAATTGTGACAACCAGCCTGTTTGATTCGACCTTTCTCTTTCATTTTGGTGGCGTTCGACTTCGGGAGTCGAGAACAACTTGTCCCCAATACTCCCCAAAAGACGACCTAATTCCGCGGCACTTTTAATTTCGTCACTGTAAGCAGTCGCGGCCATACTTGCGTTTTCATCCCCAAGTTTAAGCAGTTGGTTTGTTGATAGCTGTCTGGCTGCCATTATAGTAAAAGGAATAATATTGAAACAAAATTTGTTATGTAAGTCTTGTTGTGTCCGATGTTTTGATTGTGTTATGATTGTCGAGAAGTCCCGTTTGTGGCTTTTATAAGCTCCGATGACGTAACCTTATTCAGCAAAACAGACAATCAATTTTATATATTTAGCTTTTGCATTTACTGAAAACGTAATCAAGTCACATATTTTCTAAAAAAGGTATTATTTTGGGGAAATACCCTTCGTTGTGAGGGGTTTCCCAAGTTGCTTTCCATGGAGGGTTATATTTCTGCTCAAATTCTTGTGTTCTTATTTGGGAAACTACCTCTGTTATGCGGAAATTTCCCAGTCGCGTTTCGGCTGTAGCATGCAAATATTCTCTCATCATCAAGCAGCGGCATCATGTTGTACGCATTGCTATTAAATTTAAAAATCTTAAAACGCCGTTTAGAATAGCGACTGTAGTATCGCGTACGATCGTTGAACGAAATATATAACCGAAAAACTACCTTTTGATAAGCATACAGACTGCATACCTGTATTTGCATGAAGCCAGACGGGTAAAGTCACGCATGGAACGTGCGTGGAAAGACTGGGATTAATTAAATGACGGCTTCAAATTTTCACGAGAAGTAGCCTTCCAGTAATATTCAGTTCAATCCACAGACATTGTTTCCTTTACTCTGGTATTGCTGATTAAAAGAGAGAGACAGCACAGGAAAAAGAAATCTTGAACGTGATTGTTATTTGTTATGAAACGAGGCCTTGATCATAGACAGAAGATGGAAGACTAAAGAAGCAAGCAAAAAAAAGTAAAAAGTCAGGAAAGAAATGGACAATTTGTATGTAAAGTGTAGGCCGAATCTGCATCACTATTGATTATTCCAGTTTCTCTTTCAAAAAACAGCGTTGTGCTTCGAATTTTGCAATGGAATCTTAGAAAACGCTCTTTGTGCCTGAAAACAAGCACATACACAGGACAAATGCGACCAAGGTAAGCCCAGCAAAAAGCAAAGTTTCACCGGTTCAGTGTAGACTGGTTCAATTCCATATATCGCTTGTAGAGGACATAAGTAGTGAACGTCTAACCTGAAAGAATAGAAATTGAAATTTGAGTACTCAGTAAGTTATTTCTTTGTAATGACTTTAGTTTATCTACCAATCACAAATTTTTAAAGGGATTAATGTAGAAGCAAACGCGATACAGGCCTTGAATGCAAGTAAGGTATAAATACAATTAGAAGGCTAAAAATTCTAACGTGCTATACGTATGCCATGTGACACTCATCTTACTGGGTTCATTTAACTGCCCCGTCTAATCGCCGGCTGCACAAAGGAAATAGATGTGGAAAGCAGATTCTTCATCAATCCTCGTCGACTTTGCTCGAAGCAAGGGACTACATGAATTCCAATTGACACAAAATTTTCATTATTGTTATTGATTTTCGAAGTTTTTATAAAGTTTTATAAACGTCTTGCATATTATTTATTCTATAGATTAAATATATATTACTTTAACTCGCTTCGTGAAAAGCTATCCTTATGTAAGAAATGCGTACCAGTTTTTCTATATATCGCTTCAGATGTGTTACAGTTCCAAACTCCAGGGGCGGATCTAGGATTTTTCAAACATCAGTCATAAAACGTCGGAGGCGCTCCGCACCTGGGGGGGTCTGAGGCATTCTCCCCTGAGAAATTTTGAATTTCAGAGTCTTGAAAATGCCATTTTCAGCGTTTTAGAGCAATACAAAATGTATTTTGTGGGCATCGTTTTTGCGTAAAAACAACACATTTTTCTTACGTTTTTTTCAAAAAAATAAAGTGAACAATACTTGAATGTTTTGCCAAATATTTAGGCTCATTATCATGCCAAATATATGGCTCATTAGCATGTCTAGGAACGTAAATTTATTTTACAATAATGCTATTCAAAACAGATATATTCTTTAAAATTTCTACCAAGTTGTCAGGCATAGACCCCCTAGAGACCCCATTCAAACCTCTATGTAATAAGTTAAGTTAGAAATTTGGTACTACAAGTGACAGTTCATAGATATAGAAAAGCTCAGACTTCAAACCATGCAAGTTTATTGTAACTCTTTACCCATCTCCACATCAGTGCCAGCAAATTCACCCTTTGAGAAAAACTCAAAATTTTTTCTGCCAAAGATTAAGCAAAATTATCAGAGTGAAAATTTGCAGTTAAGGTTAGCTTAATGCCATAAATGTTTATTAGGCATTTCACTAGACTATTATCTTCTGCAAGGTGTGCTATATAGCAATCACTAGTAGCATTGTATTATCAAATACAAACAGAATGTAACCAACATGTCTTTAATTATATAATTACATGAATGTTAAAAATGGTTTATGTGTCATGCTTACTGGTTATGATAAATATCTTTTCATATGATCAAAGCTTGTTTAAATGTAAAACTAAAATAATTTAGTTTAGAAATTATAATGATCATCAGAAAAATTACCTAGTGATCATGAAAAATACTTTGCTGTTTTGCCAAATTTCAAGGTTTATCTGCATACATAGGAAGACATTTTTACTTTATAGAAAATGCTTTTCATACATCAATAGCCCTTTGGAATTTATGGCAACAATCTGGTATGAGCCGTAGATTAACACACCTTTACATCTCTACATGAGGTGTTCAGTTAGAAAAGGGACGATATGTGACATGGGACAACATTTCATGTATGTGAAATACTCAGGTTTAATACCATTCCAGTCAAATTGTCAAAATAAAAGCTTCATGGATCATAAGACTCAAAATCACAGGTTATAGTAAACAGCTTCTCATGTAATCAATGTTAGTTTTCTCAAATCTTAAACAATATGTAGTATAACTGTCCAATGATTGAATGATCAATGATCATAAACTGAAAAGCCCCAAACATTTGTTTATGATAAAGTAAATAATAGTATGGCACCTTATGGCTACAGATTTTTTGTCCATTGAAATATATTTGCAGAAATGTAGGATTTCGCTGCCATATAACGGCCACGATTCACCAAGCATTAAAGAAATCATAGCTAAAAGTCCTTCGGCAACAACAATTTTAGAAGCATCAATCTGCTTACCATACGCCATATTAACATAAATCGCATCACACACTCGCATAAATTGACTTTGATATATTGCATTCATGCATACACTTCACTTGTCCTTTACTTACGATTTTGGATGTAAATTTCTGCTGATAAAACTCAAAACAATGTTGGCTTTCTTTTGAACATCAATGACTGAAATGTCGCTCGCGAGATCGTCTTTGCCAAGCATTTACAATTCATCCATAAATTTTTCACCCTCTTGAAAAATTCCCAGTTTGGAAAGCAGCATTCATGTCAACATATGAATTTGTAAAAGATTTCCATAAATTCCATCTGATTGTAGTTTAGTTTCTATCATGCTTCTGAAAATTACTATGAATGATCAAACATTCAATTCAGACATTGTGCTTGACTATGTTAGTTCAGTTGGCTATCAGTCGAAATCGGTCAAACCAATCACAGTAAGACAAAAATTCAAATGAACCAATTGTAAGATAGCAATTGGACTCCCTTATAGGTCCGGCCACCCCTATTATCGGTCGAGATTATTCCAGACTGTCCACTGATCTGGCCATTGACCAATAAAATAGCGTTTCTGGCGTTCATAGACTCCTTTATAAGTCGAACCAGTCAAGCCACCCCGCTTATCAGTCGGTTATTCCCATTGAGCTCTATAACTCAATAACCAGATTGAGTTCTATTATAGAACTCAATGGTTATTCCAGGTCAATTAAAATTCAACTGATCTGGTTACCAAGGAGATATTCATTGCATTAGTCATTAGTTTTCAATAATAAATAATGCTGGATTTTTATCACGAAGTAAATGCGATAATAAAGTAAGAATAATTAATGATTTTTAATTAATATGAATAGGTAATTTTTGAATTTCAAACATCAGTCGCGCGACGGATTTGACATACTCTAGATCCGCCCCTGCCAAACTCCTGCACCAATCTCCCGAAGTTTACAAGTTCGACAACTTTGAATTGATAAAATTTGAAAGTTTTTGCTTATATCGGATGCTGGAAAGCGACGAATGATGTAGAAATATATTTTTAGGCCATGTCATCTCGACATACGAACCGACGCAAAAGGCGTCGAAGTCGTTCAAGATCATCAATTTCTGATCAAAAAGACAGCGCAAAAAGATATCGTGAGCGTGATGGTGGTGAAGACAGAAGGCCTGGGTCTAGGAGAGAGGATAATAGACGAAAGGAGACAAGAAGAAATACTAAAAATCATGAGAGGAATAGACAGGAGTATGAAAAACAACGTGAAACGAAACATCAAAATCACAAGTATGTTATTGATAGTATTTTAGTACAATTCCAATGCATTACTTAATTCCATCTTGAACATCAACTGATGAAATTGGTTTCATTCAATAGTTTGTATTATTTATTATACATTTTCATTGATATTTCTTTCAGTTTGAATGTAAATGACAGTGAAGAACAAGCTAGTCCTAATAAAGAATAGCCCAATTTCAAGCTATCAGGAAAGCTTACCGAATATAAAAACACGTATAAGGTAGGTTAACATATATACTTAGTACTGATAACCAGCTCAAATATTCGGATGCGTGTGGACGAAAGGCTTATCCGCAATTTTTTTGTTGCAGATACGAAACTATCCGTATACGTGTAAACGGGGCCTTCGTCCTCGTTTGGATTGCAAATTTGCCATTTATAGGTTCCTTGGGGATCGATTATTGCTGAATTATGCAAATTATAAAATGTCAACTGATTTCAAAGATGACCACTTTGATACACCGTGTAGATTTTGACATTAACCGGGCTAACAACAAAATGTTTTGAATGTCGTTCATTTTACTGTTTTATTCTCCAGACTACTCGTTCCTTTGTCAATTCTTCTATTCACCAGCCTTTCTATTGTCACGCGTTCTTTTGTCAACTGGTTGCATTCGACGCCCGATGCATTGTCCAAAGTCTGACACCACCTAAATAAAATACAAGGGCTGTCACAATTAATATGAACTTTGGATGCGACAATAAAGGGCTGAAGCATGCTGGTCAACCGGTGAATTTGGACACAAAAAATAGGACCAAATATTGAGAGGACTGTATAATTTAACAAGTTGGTAAAATTTGACTTGCCGTATTTTGTAGGCT